CCTTAAATGTAACATGCGCACAACGAACTTGACCTTGAGAGGAAAAGATCGAAACAGTATAAATGTATTTTATTAGCTTTCCGGTTGCAAATATATGTGTAAAACAATACAATACATCATCGTATCAAAAAACACTTCTTGTAATTTGAAAACTGCGTCTATTTTAAATTGAATATAGTGCTGACTGAAAGGTTTTTTATCGACTTCAAGGAAACTTCCTCATTTCGATTGGTATTTCTATTTATGTAACACAACGTTTACGCTGCGATTCACAATCCGATTTTCTTTTAGCTTAATGTGGAATAGCTGCCATTTGGTCCCACCATTTTCAAAATAAAAACTATTCTACTGGAACTCAAAAACTACTGTTTTTGAGCACTCAAACACTGTAAGAACAACTCAATACCAGTAGTTTGTGAGTGTTTCTTAAAAAAACGTGCCAAAAGAAATGTTTGTCTTGAAGTCTATCTACTTAAACCAAATGTTTATACAATAAATTAGATTCCGTAAACGCATGTAATCTGATTTCGCCCCTTTTTGTAGGCGATGACGTCATCCCCGTTGACCCCGCAAGTGCTGGGCCCCGTGACGCAGTCGACGCTGGCGCAGCGCCGCATTGGCCCGCAGCGCCGCTTCCCGCACACGCAGGTATAACGTATACCACAAAATACCTATTAAAACAAAGAGGTTAAGAAATATATAGACAATTCACTTGAGACATTTTTCACATGCGACATGTCAATATAATTAATTGTAATCATGGATATACTACTAGAACAACAGGATTGAGCTGTTGTCGAAAAATTGACGGCGAGCGAGACCCCAATAATTAACCCTTCTATCCCTATCTGGCAATGGTGACCATGTTAAAATATGATTTTAGGACAAATATACAAAAATCTTGTTTTTGTTGTCTGGTTACTTGATTATTACTTCAGATAGATTTTAAAGTATTAGTGTTATCATTAATGTATTTTTTAAAAACAATCCAAAAACACATAATTCTAAATCAGATATTGCTAAATAAAAGTTTTGTAAAGTTTATGCCACAAACTTATCTTATTCCTTATATCTTAAATCTGAAATTAAAACAAAATTGTTTTAATAGAGAAGGGCAGAAATAAATGTATAAGTGTTTCAAATTATATGTTCTTGAACTAGAATTGGATAGTCATGCATGGTCACCGTGTTTTGTCAACAGTTTTATAACATGTCAATACAAGGACATGAGGTTGCGTACTGAAATTGATAACTAACATAGTACCTTTAAAGAAAGTACAGATGAAAAAAAAATGTTCAATATGTCTAGTCTATATATTTCTTAAATGTCTTTGTTTTAAAGCCAAAAAATAAGTCACAATTGACACAAAAAAAATGTAAAGAGATGTATAATTTTGTAGCAATTTATTTCGGAAAAATCTTTTCGAGTATTTGTATATTTAATCACAAAATATTATTTATGTAGAGAATTATAAGTAATATTAGAGCGTAATGGATTCATTTGTAATGCCGTTGAAGTTTTTATGTCTATTTTTTTCAAAGCATTTTTAGACAACGGGTTTTTAATGAACATTCCATTTTTTTTTCAAGAATTGTTAAATGTCTTCGTAAGCCCATTGTTTACTAGGATAATTATACACTATGTAGAATATTCGAAAGTTGTCTTCCTGATAAAAGTTACAGATTAAAAATTTATTTTGTATAAAACTGACCCACCTTATAATTTTAGTCCTTTAGTGCCATTACCAAAAAGATTCTTCACGTTTTGGATAAATTAAGAACTGCTTTTATTTTACAATCCGTTATTTTTATACAAGATTCTTGTCGCATTCTTTAATGAATGAAAAATTTAGACAGTATTTTTTTTATTAATCATCATAGAGATGTAAGTTTGAGAGATTTCTTAGATTGTTAAGATTGTGGTTATTTGTAAACTAACATCTACAATGAAAGTAAAGTATATCCTATATGTTTCCGCTTCTAAACGCCTTATTTAATTTAAAAAAGGGCCTACGATTACCGTTTCTTACAAAAGTATAATTCTACTTCCTATTTCAGATCTATTTTATAATATAGGATATAAGTCTAACATTGTCTATTTTGTTATTCGCTTTAAAGATTAATAATAAGTGAAATGATGTACAGTCGCGGAAATCCGTGGTGTTCCACTTTAGGAATAATTACCTTGTTCATTCCGACGAGACAAACTACGCCTCTTCCTACAAATAACTAATTAGACAGTAGTGAGTGCAAACAAAGGGATAATAATAAAAATAACTTTTTATCATTAACCGACATATTTCGTACAGATACATTTATAAGCTGCATTTATAACTCTTGTAGCTATTAAGGAACACCGCCAGTTTCCCCGATTGTACGTGTATATTCCTGTCTTAGTGGTGACATATCTAACGATCAAACAGAATTATTCAAACAAGTCCAAGTGAATAAAAGGTGTAATATATATATTATGAATCAAAATATCTTCGTGTTCCGATTTTATATTGCATTTATCAAACTTAAACCGTCCTTTCTACTCTTCTGAAAGTTATACTGTTATTGTCATTTATATTTCAAATACTGTGTTGAAATCTATACTATCTTTATAAAAAATCGACTGATTGACTTGTTTTCTCCTATTTTATCTAGAATATGATTGTTAAAAGGAGGGAGAATTTAAAATTGCTCTGCGTCAAACGGCTTGCTCAAAACATGACGTTATAACGTAATCGTCCTTGAACTTATTGTTAAAAGCTACTTGTACAAATTGCGAAATACGTAATAATCTTGCGGTTGATGTAGTCAAAAGCCTTAATTATCTCTATTTCAAACTTATTTAGCTTATTCTCTGTCCCCCTAATTGTTAAACTTTGAAGAAAACTACTAGACTATAACCATATTTTTCTAAAGTCCTAAACAAAAAGTAAAAAGCGCAGTAGAAATTTTGATGTATCTTAGATTTCATAAAGGCTTTGCCACCACTAAGTACAGTTTATACAACGTGTTGCACATTCGCATAAGAACAGTATTTTCATACTTTTAAGATAAGTACATAATATATGTAAGAATTTTTTTTGATTTATGTAAACTTTTTGCCTTAACTATTCCGACTCTAATTTTAATCTGTTTGATTTTACCAAAGAACATATTTTTTAAAACATTTATGTTGTAAATTGTAATGTATTGATTTTTAAACTATTGCAAAATTATTACCGGCAATTAAAATCTGCTCTTAGAAAGTTATGGTCAAAATGACCATATAGATTGGCCTTGGTACTTACCATATTACAAGATATTTAAATATCATACAATGTTTTGTACCTGATTCTGTATAGAATTAAATGGTAATGAGGAATTATAACAATACAATCTAAATATCGCACCTTTATAAGGCTGTAATATCAGACTTATTATAAACATGTTTGTGTCATCAATTTAAACACCGAAATTTTCTGAAATCCATAGACAATAAATGACATTAACAGTCATGTAAATTTCTCATTTCTATTGAATTCTAGTACAATTGCAACTTCTGTATTTTATAATGACCATGTGTTATAACACCGAGTGCATAATAATCAGCATATTATTACGATAAAGCGAAGGAATTGATATTTAATACTGTAATTATAATGTTAATGTTACAATTATAATTATTCTTCGATTGAGTGACGTAGGAATTATTGAAATTTAGACGTAAAATGACCTTTCTAGATATAATAAAAAACATATCTGGCTGGAATGCAGTGACCTGTCATTACAATTATTGTATAGTCATATCATTCTAATGATATTTAAATGTTACTACAGTACTACTTAAAACTAGATGTTCTATTTTATGAATGTTTTATTTTACAATGTTTACGCGTTGAAATTAAATGAGATTACACATTTATGGTACACATGCAATGCTTAGTCAAAATGAAACTATAAACTAGCGGAAAGATATAAATACATAGAAGGCTCTAGGGAAATATTCGTCTCATAGATTGACAGTTTGTTTTTACATCGACAAAAAATATTGTTATCTCGCTCTTATTCAAGGAGAATGAAGAGGATGACATGGTTTTTTTTAAGTAAAAGATGTCACAGTACCAAGTGGCCATTTTAATTCACCAAATATAGCGAAATGATCGTTATCCATAGAAATATTAATTTGCAGATGGGTTACCTACCTAAAAGAATGTGCAAATAAAAGATAATTTCCCTTCCTGTGTCTCTGTCCTCAAATCCATCTCCTTTTCTCTTCCTTATAAGAATAGTTGAAAAGGGAAAGAGCACTTAAAGTATGCCTCCGATACGTACACCTGACAGACTCCCATCTTCCATCTGGTCATGGCACACCAGACAAGTAGGCTTAATTCGGTAACAGTATTTTTTTGTATGAGTATTACCTAAATGTTATTAACAAGAGATGTCAAGTCAAAGAAAAGATGCCTATCTGTGTATTTAAATCTTTGATTTATGCTTTTATTTGATAAGCATATGTAAGTATTGTACATGCATAATAATTTTGTGTGCATCTGTATTTTCATATTACTAAGGATATGAAAAATAACTTAGCGAAGGTTAATCACAACAGTTTAGATTTATACCCACAAAATGCACTCAAAAACATTTTTAATCAAAATTAATTAGTGACATATATGGTGATAGTTATTGAAAATATTAGAAAAAAATTAGCGTGCAATAAATTAATTATTGTGATTACTTGTTCTATATTAACATAATAGAGCTTGCTTGCACACTTGTTAATTAATTCTAATAAATATATTTTCTTACTCACTCTCAGTACACAGTTGATGTTACCGTAGATTTTTCTATGACACTAATGTTATTAACTATCTGGTTATGATAATTGTAACCGGTACAGGCTGGACCAGAAAGATAAATATATAAACTATGAAAGAAGTTAATGTGGTGTTAATGTATTATGGATCACATCTGTCTATTTTTCTATCTTTGAAATAGATATCAAATTATGTTACATTAAATTGTTATTGTAGACACATTTGATTACAGAAATAATATATATGTATTGTTGAAATTGCTTTAAAATGTTGTTTTATTTTTGTTCCTGTTCCTTAAATTGTTTAAACTTTTGTAGGATAATATCCTAAATCAAAAAATTGAAAAAGGATTAACTCCCATATGATTGTGTTTTAATGGTGGTAATCTTAACAAGATTTTGAATTTTAAAAATTTAATAGCTAAAGCTGAATAAGAAATCTTGCTTTAAATAAATTTGAAGCTTGAGTTTTGTTTTGTTGCAATAAAAATCATTAATATTTGAATTATATATTTGAAAACTGATAAAATAATTATGAGAAAATATAAATTAATTCAACATTACTTAACATTAACTTGTTTTAATGTAGGTGCTACAACTGAACCTTTTCCTACAACAATCAAAGGTTTATCCTTGTAACATGCAACTTTATCATCATTGGTCTTCAAGTCAGGAGCACATGTCTCAAATATTTTCTTCTTGGGGTTAAGTTGTGCTTCCGGTTCTCTAGGATACCCTTCACATTCCACTAAATCTCCAGGAACAGCATCAGATGGTGGATTTAGGACTTCAACTTTCTCAGGCGATGATGCACACATCACCATTGCTTCAGAAGTAACTCCTCTCATCTGAAAAACAATGCTATTTTGCGTAAGTTTGAAATTTAAACTAATCAAAGGATTATTAAAGCATTTTAATTGTTTAATGTGCTTACCTTGACTGGTTTCAAATTACATAAGACCATTACTAGTTTATCTCTCATTTCATCAATAGGGACATGATTGACTAGCCCCGATACAACAGTGCGAGGTCTTCCCTCACCACAATCTATCTTTTCAACATACAATGAATCTGCATCCGGGTGTTTGTTTATTTCCACAATCTTGCCAATCCTAAAATCTAATTTCCTAACATCTATTATACTATCCGTACTTGGTGCAGGATTCACTTTCTCCTTGATCTTCTTCACTGAATTCTTTTCTTTTTTCACGACTGCAGCTTGTGTCTTCTCAACTTCATTGTCGTTATCTTGGGACTTTTCAACGCTAACTGGAACTGTGTTGCTTTCAGTTATTTCTTTACTTGGCACAGTATACTGCTTTTTTCCATGTGAAATTTCAAGTTTGATTAGCTCATTCTTAGCTTGAACAATTTTCTCCGATAAAACTGAGTTCTCTTTTAACAACTCCTTTATTTTCTCTTCCACTTTGAACTTTTTTATCTCTTCCACCTTTAAGTTAATTACCAGGTTAGTTGTACAATAAGTATTTAAATTATGTTAAATACGTGTAATTAAACAAACCTTTATCCTTAGTTCTGCTAAACGTTTTTCGGCTGTTTCTGCATTTGCCAAAATATTTGAAGAAATTTTAACCAACATGTTTTTCAGAGAGTTACAGCCAATACAAATCATTAGCTATATACTTGTGTAAAAATAAATATTTGTTTTTCAATATTTTCGTAAAGCCTATTTTTGTAATTTTAGGTTAGAAAAAGTGTTGCCAGTGTATATGTAAAAGGTAAAAAAAAAAGGTTGAATCTAATCTGTACCTATTGCTGTTTATTCTATTACATTATTATAAGGTAACACTGAAGCCATAGAATAGAAAACAAAAAAGAAATATGGCCGTTGGAATGGCGTCATAAATAGTTTCTGACGTTGTTTATATTTGCCTAAAGAGATAATCGATTTTTATTTCATACAGTACCTTAATCTGAATCTGTTTTGAATACAATGTAATCACATTAAATAGTGAACAAACGGATCTATTGATATAATGTTATAGAGTTCTCAAAAAGAACAATGTCAAATAACACTGTCGGCTCTTCAGGGCATGCTCCCGGCAAAATACGTGGGCCTGGAAGACCACCAAAACGTACATGTACGTGGTGTGCTGAAAGTAAAACACCTTTGAAATATGTATTGCCTACTGAGAATGGTAAAAAAGAGTTTTGTTCCGAGACCTGTCTTTCCGAATTTAGACAAGCTTACAGCAAAGGTGCCTGTCTTCACTGCGACAATGTCATTCGAGGTAATGCTCCGTCGAGTAGTAAGAACTTTTGTTCCACTTATTGTCTGAATAAATATCAGAAGAAAACTGAAAAACGGACAAGTTCTCCTCAGTCTGGTAATGGGGCAAACGGATCTGAAAGTCATTCCAACAACAATACGACAGGATCATTTTACGATATATTTCAGTCTTTCGACTGGACTGAATATATGAAGGAGACAAACAGCACAGCAGCACCTCAGGAATGTTTTAAACAGGCGCCTGTCCCACCACTGAATGATTTCAAAGTGAACATGAAATTGGAGGCTTTAGATCCACGGAATTTGACTTCTACTTGTATTGCTACTGTGGTAGGTGTTTTAGGACCACGGCTTAGATTGAGATTGGACGGAAGTGATAATAAGAATGATTTTTGGAGGCTTGTTGATGCAGGTGATATTCACCCAATAGGGCATTGTGAGAAAAATGATGGAATGCTCCAACCTCCACTTGGGTTTCGCATGAACGCCAGCAGTTGGCCAATGTTTTTGCTCAAAACTTTGAATGGTGCAGAGATGGCTCCTCCTAAAGTATTTCAAGCTGAGCCCCCAACACCTAAATCGAATCTGTTTGTTGTTGGGCAAAAACTGGAGGCTGTTGATAAGAAGAATCCACAGTTAATCTGCTGTGCTACTGTTGGAGCTGTGAAGAATGATCAGATTCATGTAACATTTGATGGGTGGCGCGGTGCATTTGATTATTGGTGTAGGTATGATTCAAGGGATATATTTCCTGTTGGTTGGTGTGCTCGAGCTGGTCATCCTCTGCAGCCACCTGGGCAAAAAAGTGCTACTACTCCATCAAGGTATGTTTTTGTTATTATAAGTAAGTGTTGTCTTATTAATAATTAATTTAAATAAAATTTATAAGAGCCTATGGTTTAATGTAGTGAATTCAGTGATCTTTTTTAATGAAAATGAAGCTTTTATGGTATTAAGTAACATATGCAAATTTTTTAATTAATTAAGTGTGTAAAATTTAATGTGTAAGGTATTTGAAAAAAAAAAATAGTTATGTAAGTGAAATATTTGCAGTTGACAGGGTTTACAATTTTTTGAGCTAAGCATAAAGTTATGGTTTAGGCATTCAAGAATAACAATTCAGTTAGAGTTAGCTTTTCTATTTCAATTTGTCTTAAAATTATGTATGTAACTTATATGATTTAACAATTGATTCACTGAAGTAAATATGTTTTTGCATGAATGATTACATTTGTGAATTTCATGTTATAGTACATTTATAACCTCCAAAGGTTAAACTTAAGTATAAATTGGAGTTTCATATTTCATTAAGTTTATAAACTAACAGAAATATGAGTACACAAGAAATATTTAACAATGTGACATCCTAGATAATTAAAGATTTGAAAATGAGTCAGCCATTTTAGTGAATTTTATTAAATTTGATAACAGTGTCTTTATATATATTCAAATCTCCAGTAGACCATCAACATCCTGCTCTACCCTACTGGACTACCTACATGAAGCATAATTTAGGTGTTTTTTCCAGGTTTAAACTACGGCCGATTGGTATGGCCAATCCTGCTTTACCCGAAGGAGGGTCTACCGGTGGTACAACTGCAACCAATCCGAGTCCACCGACACCCGTAGCTCCGGTTCATTTACGTATACGCACCAGTTGTACCGGTGGTAATAGCAATCTGCCAAACACAGTCACTGGTTTAGGACCATCGGGTGTTGCAGAAGTTCTCGCTAAAGAATTGCTAGCTGTTCATCCTGAACCACAGAGGCTAACAAGGGCAATGTTGACAGCTGCCAGCGGTTACTCCAATGTAACTACAGTACAGGTAATAATCAATTTGTACATTTGTAAGATTTTTCTACAGTTGGTTCAGTACTTACTAGAACAATTATGTGGACATAAAAATTTGTTGTTAATTTTATTTCTTAAATTGGATGATATTTTAATTTAATCGTAATTTTAAGGTTTCTACGGGAAGCAAGACTCATACAGTTAAAGTGCCATCTGATCTTACAAATGATGAGCTGAAGAACTGGCTGAAACTGTTGTGTGTCGGGATGACCTGGTGTGTTGGCATAATTGAAGTGGATACAGGCGAGGCTGCGAGTCGGCCCTGCACCTTGTGCGGGGAGTCCACTTCTAATGGCCTTTCATCTGCTGTTAAAAGACCTGTTATTGTAAGTAACTAAATTTTACATATTAACATTACAAATGTGAAAGTTTTGATAGATAGATGTTTGTTAAAAAAATTTCTCTATAATGGCTTAATGGATTTTGATGAAATTTGGTGCAGATGTAGAACAGCTCAGAATAGGAGGGTGATGCCATTACAATTTATTTTTATGAAAGTAACTATGTTATAGTTATAGTTAAGTGATAAAAATAATATTTGAATCAAATTGTGGTTATTAAATTACTTTGTAATGCAGTCTAAATTTGTTATCATGTATTCATTTTGTTTGTTTATAAGATAAGTGAATAAAAGAAAAAAAGTGTATTGTACTATATATTATTATAATAAAGCCCACAATCTTGTTTGTTATGTAGGATGTCAGCAATCACTAATAATTTTTGAATTATAATTTTTTTAATAAAATGCCCTATACTTGCATCACACTATAGGCTATAGATTTTTACACTATTTAATTTAGGGTCTGAATAATTCGAACAAAAATGTCCTACGTGGAATTCGGAATAAGCTGATGAAGCAACAACTAGTATTTAATGAATATTTACCATACAGGAGTTGCCGGTGGAAAGTGGTGTGAACGGTTTAGGCGAGAGCTCGACGGTGAAGATGGCGCGCGTGTCCCCGGAGCGGCCGGAGCCCGCGTCCTCCACCACGGGCGCTCCGCCGCCGCCGCCGCCGCCCGCGCCCGCCGCCGCGCCCGCGGACTGGTCCGTCGAAGACGTCATCGGCTTCATTGCCGCCGCCGACCAGGCCCTGGCTGCTCACGCTGATCTCTTCCGTAAACATGTAAGTTAATATAACCAGATTTAAAATACCCGACTGACTAAAGTCTAATAGATGAATATACAAAAACATAATAAAAAACACTTTACAATGACAAATAACAAAGATATTTAAACAATATATAGACTGAATATAGTGAACAACTTTCACTGGTAATTTCTCTAACAGGTAATATAACAGATTTCAAGTTTAGGTAGCCACCTGGTGTCCTTGTATTGACATTTTACAAAATAAGCTCCATCTTTTCTTATAAGTTAACAGTGTCACAAAATAAAATATTAACATTTAAATAGTATTTGATGAGACCTATTGATAACTAATTTAAATACAATTATATTGACATGTGGCTTTGAAGACCTATCAATAGATAGTGTTAATTATTTGAAAAATTTCTCAAGTGAAGTATCAACTATGCTTATGCTATATAATTTTTTTAATCTTTGCAAAAAAATATGGTGAGGCAGATTATAACTCGGTTTAATCACCATTATTTTAGAATTTCTGTTCTCTCATCCACTTTAACTGTTTGTGCTGGTGTAATGTATGTCACTCCGGGAAAGACGACTATTCAAATAACACCTCACTTGTCAAAATCAGTTTAGTTATTTAGGCTGAAGGCCTTCACAATGATATTACAATATTTACATTTATACAAACCCATACATACATGCACACATAAAAATAACAGACATTGTCAGTCGGGTAATAAACAAAAAATAATAATAAAAAAACATAATTTTCTACAACTTTGACATGTTTCTTTGCAGGAAATTGATGGGAAAGCTCTTCTGTTGTTGAATTCTGATATGATGATGAGATACATGGGCCTTAAGTTAGGACCCGCTCTTAAGATATGTAATCTGGTGTCGAAAATAAAAAATCGCCGCAATTTTAATCCCTAACTAGACGCCCCGCTAGCTGAATCTTGGAACCGTCAGCTATTGCGTATGCTATCCAAAAATACATTTAAATTATTATCACGTCGGAGTATTAAAATTAAAGTGATTAAATAATTTATTGAATGTATGAAATTGGAATCTCAGCATAATGACGGTCATTCAGTAGCGCTTGCATGTATTTTTATTTTATATTGAAAATCATATGGTCCTTTGATAATGAAGAATTATGATACTAAAATAAATTCTAGTTCACCATTGAGCAACATAAATATCGTATTTTATGTAAATGTAAATTACTTTGTAGTCACGTGTACATAGGCGGTATGAATGAGTGGAAATGCATTTAATGTAGTCAGTACTCATTTTACATAATAGACTATAAAAATTAATTGTTAATTACGCCGGCTTTATTGTTAGATATTTGGATTGTATATACATATTTTATTATCGGCTAGTCGTATTGAACACCAAGAACACCAATCCAAAAATGGTTTAAAATATTTATTCACACAGTTGCGTTGTTGCAAGAAAGTGTATAATTTCTTTAAAACAACCTACTTCTTCCGGTATTTATCTTTATTCTACGGCAAGCAAAATGTTCTTTATTTGTATAATATTATATGACATAACATTCTTAGATTCTTTTTTTTAATAATGGCGGTGATGTTTTAATTTTTTTTCGGACAAATTTTATAATTTAATTTTAAATTATATTTATTTATCTATAAATAATATGAATACTGCATGTGCTATTCAAATGTCACGTTTTTCGGCTAAACAGCAAAGCAGCTTCTAAACGTGACTTTACGGAAATTATCTTTTTAATAATGCATATCTAAATTATATTATGTTTGAACTGATGGATAAAGAAAGAAGTCAAAGTGTGATAAAAATAGTGTTAACAAGTCACAAAATAACCAGAAATAATAGTAAACATACTTTCTGAATGATTAAGGATTTTGTGGAGGTTCCTCTTTAGGATTTATATTGTATGTTTTCTGAATTATTTTTATTTTGTCTGTTAATTTTATTTTAGTAGATAGTGACTGTGTGAGTGAATATTTAATCTGACCAACAGTTTTATTGCCTGTACAAACATCGTAGATTAGGGTCTTAGTGCCTTCCAATATATAGGTGTACTTAAACAGAAGTCATTTTAGCAATTCAAGCAATTTTTATACTATGAAGTAACAATTTTTACTATAGTACAGTTTTATGTTTTTTATGATAATATGATAATAAACTATTTTATTTATGCTTTTAATTATACATATTAAGTATTATAACGCATGTTTTGTATGTAATTAAAACACGATACTAGTTTTTTATAATATACTATATAATTTTAAATGATCATTAAGAGCGAATGAAATGTGATCATTATAATTGGGAAGTAGATTTATATTAAAATATCGATGTTGTCTAAAATTTGTAGTATTTAAATAAAAATATATAAAAAAAAATTAGTACATTTGTATGCATGTTTTAAAGTATTAAACATCTTTAGATCCCATCACCATTTACTTTAGTGAAGATTATAAAAAAAAAATTAGATGATATAAGTATTTAGCCATTGTTTTTCGAAATATGCAGATAATAATTAATAATTTCGATTATTAACAAACAATTAATTGTATGAAAAGCCAAATGCTGAAATGGCTTTAAATAAATCGGGCTTGCTCAAGATATAACTCTATTCTATCGCATCCTGGTGTATCGCATCTGTCGACCCAAGCAAAGAACAGTCACGTCTCATAAGAATTGTTCCTTTTCTTACCAGATGTAAATCTTTTCTCTTAAGTAATGTAAAACTTTGCTTTTAAGAGATGTTACTTTACATTTTAAAGATGTAACTGTTCTCTTAAACACGTAACTCTTCTTTTAAGAGATGTAACTCTTTTCCCTTAAAAATGTAAGTCTTCTTTTAAGAATTGTAACTCTTTTCTTTTAAGACATGTAGTTTATTTCTCTCAAGAGATGTAACTCTTTTCTCTTAAAGATGTAACTCTTTTCATAGTAGGAAGGTATCTGTTTGGTGCAATGAATTCAAATATGGTATATGTTTTACTTATCTTTCACAAAGTAGTTGTGTAGTTTGTAGGGAATTGTATTATAGGTTTTATAATTTTATGCTACTTAGCCGAGGTATGTACATAAATAAGTTGCGCCATTAGAGTATGCGACGCGCATTTTATGTTTTATGAGCTTTGTTTTAAATATGTTCCTCGATTGATTTTTTTTGTGTGAATACCCCTATCAAGAAATGTTTCATTTAAGTTAATTTTTATTATTTTAATTTAATTGTCACTTTAAGGGTTTTGTTGTAATGTTTAATCATTTCGTAATGTGATATTTCAATGTTATCTGTTATTGTAGTTTAAAACGTTGAGTTACATAGAAATTAGGAGTTATTCTAAGTTTTCATGACATATAAACTATTAAAGGATACATACACATTATGCAAATATGCTTTTTTATTATATTGTACCTTCTTTCAGTGTAAGTATAAGATTTTATAGTTTAGTTTATATATTAGGATAATGAATACATTATCGCTACTCGTCTTGTGTAAGATTTGCACTCTTTTAGTTCAGTTTAAATAACTAATATGCCTATTGTACTTGTCTGTAAATTATATAGTTTGCGTCATATAGGTGTGAAGCATTTCACATCAAAAATATTATATTATTTTAATAATTTTATGTACATAGGAAATAATATTTCGAAACAGATGTGTAAAAATTTAATAAAGTCGGAAAGTTTTCCATATTAGTTTTTAATTTTTAGTGTATTCCTTTATTTGTTATTGTAACACTTGTATTGTAAAAAAAATGTAACTAGTAACTTCTGTAACTGTAGTTAAAGAAAAAAGGTCCTGTATAAGTTTGAACTCGTTTATAATTTCTATGTAATAATTGCTGATATGCATCTATACGCTGCTTGCGACTTGTAGTTTGTGAACCAAAAAAATTCAATTATACTATGTAAAATTTCCATTACATGATATGTTTTTAATTTACTATGTCATTAGATGTCATACTACATCTGCATCTTACTAATATTACAAGTGCAAAAGTTTAAATGGATGGATGGATATTTCTTAGTTGAAAGGCATAGATGTAGATACTATCTGAAAGAACATATAGGCTACTTACTTTTTTAATTCAACGTGAAGTCATGGTCAAAATCTAGTTCAATATATTTGGTTTATTATGGAGCCATGAATTAAGAGTAAAGTTAGCTACTGAATGAATGAACTCTTGCGATGTCACACCTTGATGTCACGAGTGAACAGAATAGAGTGAATAAAGATAGTTCCGAATTTCGACAGTCTAGGGAGGTATCATTCCTTTCATAAACAATTGTTCTCAAATTAGCTGGATCATTTACGCTAGTGGTTATCATTTGTGTCGTGACCCATATTGGAGCATTTCTCCTAAGCATAAAGGGACGCACAACTGATAAACCAATCGGTCCAAAGTCACATTTATTTTTTTCTCCATCCGGTTGGTGACTGTCGCAAAATAATTTTACATCCTAAACTAGTCGAGTTAAAACTCGTTCAATTCAGATGCACTTTACTCGTTGTTTTCAACGACAGTATCGTGCTCTTTACAAGTGTATCAAATGTTTAGTTTGCTTTTAAAAGTTAACAATAGTAGCATACCTCTACCTGTGTCGTAATGCTCAAAATGTTTGTTTATTCGTTTTGTACTTGTATGCAGTTTAACTTGTACTTACAATCTTTAACCGTTATCTAAAGGCAAAATGTGACGCCTCAGGCCAAGTGACAAGCGCAGGAGTCGGCGCACAGAATGCTGTTCGCCAGTCACCGTTTGTCGTTTGCCGTTGCCACACATTAAATACAGTTTATTAATGTCGTCCATAAAGTTTGCGTGATCTCTGAAAAGTGTGATAAAGTTCTGTTAAAATGGAGTTGCAGGAACGTAAAAACGACAACGGTAAGATAAATGAGAATAAGTGAAAGTGTGCAAACACGATGGCCTCCAATTTACAATATGTTTTACACTGACAATTTTACATTGCCGATTTCTTTAATGAAATTTTAAGTTTATTAACATAAGTGTGTATTAACTCTATTCATTCATAAGCGTAAATAATTGCACTATTCATGGTAATTAACCTGTAGTGTGTGGTAAAACATTCCTTAAACGTAGGGACATAGATTCCAAAACATTATTTAGGTTTAGTTTTCATTGTTAAAGTTACAATTCCTCTCGGTTGGACTTCAATGATTCTCTATTGTATCTTTTAAATACGATGACCAATAAAAGTAAATTGTTTAGATCACTAATATTTAGAAACTTAATACCTATTATTTGTAAAAAAAAATGAAGTTGTTTACTGATGGCCTCAATACACTTTAGGTTACGCCATAAAAAATACGTGCAAGGTAATTTTTTATCCTTTAAGCATTATTTTGTTTTTAGACATCTTACTTAAATCTCACATACTAAAGTTTCCTTTATTGAAACGACAATGACATTTGGCTCGTGCATCCCTTCCAAGTGTTTACCTCATACACTTTGAAGGTTTAAATATTTTGTATAACAAATACGTATGTACGTACATGTATGTACGTAAACTAGTTCTCTCATTTGTTATTATTTTTATTGATAAATGCAATTACTTGAAGATTTACATTTAATAAGCGGCGGCAGTGGCATCTTATATTTTGTATCAGGGTTCGAATCTAGGATATTTCTAGCTTGTATCCGCTTTACGCCTTTTTAACTCAATAAATTTTAAAGCAATATGTTGATATTTTTTTTAATTAACAAAATGTCATGCAATTAATTTAAAAATTGTATTGTGTTTGTTAAGTAGAAAATAACTGGATGATAAGTCACAACGGAAACGTTTCATAACACAATTACCTTCGTTTTACTGCGACCACGTTCGTAACTACGTTAATAAAGTACGTATTTTGTGCCATTATGGTTGGTCAGTTTACCTATTGCTTCATTTTTTTTTTAATATTGCAAATGCATAAGGAAATATTTTTCATAATGACAAATTACTCTTCCTTGCATTGTTCTTACAATTTTCCTTATTTCTAAGTAATTTCAATATTTGTTAATATTACTTAAGTTGCTTTAAACTTAATTGTAGATTTTTTACTTCAGAAACAGATTGATAAATCTAAATTTTTTGCTAATATTATAAAGAGGAAAGATTTGGATTTTTTTATGAATTGGAATAACTCAAAAACTATATGGCCGATTTCAAACATTCTATCACCATTAAAAGCTACGTTATCAGTGATTAGCATAGGTTGTTTTTTTTTAATTTTACGCGGACGAAGCCGCGAGCAACAGCAAGTAACATATAACTTTATTGTATAGACAAGTATTATTTCTTTTAACTATTGATGCGACTGTTTGAGGTTTTCCACTGGTATTTTATTTCCGCATTGTATTTGATTGTATAACACGCTACTATAAACATACAATATTTTGCCATTGCATGTACAGGTATTCGTAAAATAAAATAAGTATTACTACTTTTATACGAGACAAATGGCGAATTAGTGAAAAAGATTAACACAACAATAAGAAAAAAATCCATAGATACATTCTGAGAGAGCAGAGAGACGTTAAGTTATGTTATCAGTAGCGAACAGCTTCTTGAAAAACAAAACGCACGCAAGTTGATAAATAGGTATTTTGCTGTAAGTGACAGAAAAGGAAATGTCTAGGAAACAGTTTAGATACATAATTACATTGATAGCACGCATAGTACTAAAGCAATACTAGTACTAAATTCAAAGTGTTACACCTAATATTGAAAAAGAAATAAAACGCAACTTTAAAGTTTTTCGGAAATTAAGGATTTACCTTGTATTTATTATAAAAGGACTTTGTACCATAGAATTTCAGGAGAAAAGTAGGTCCAGATAATGTTATTTGATTTTACATATATTATTGTTGAATAACACGGCAATAAAGAGATCAAGGTCGAAGCTACCGCGTCTCTTTCCACAGAGAATGTAGACAGTATTTAATATTTATGTTTTATCAAGAACTAATCTTGAAACGACGTTATCGCATATCTAATAATTTTAGATACTTTATTTTTTCATTTATCTTTAAGTAAATCCTACATTTCAAGATGACAGGCGTAGGCCTTACTACGTGCACTAAGTAGCACGTGTATCTAACCGTTTTCACTGGGGAGAAATTAGAACGATACATTCAAATATATTCTTGTCTCAGTTTTCTTAAGGTTTCTTTAAGGTTTTTGAGAAAGATGGCACTTTATTTTGTACAAGTGTTTGGAATTTATATAAGACTAGCTGTTCGCATGCAACTTCATCTGCATGAAATTATAAAAAAAACGTTTTTTATTCATTTTTGTCAAATTGTCAATTGCAATTGTCAAAATGACATGATGTGATGTCAAACCATGGCAACCTTGCTTCCTTGATGTTGGCAACAACTTATGGTCTCTTTCCCACATTAGGGTTTTATATTACCCCTAAGTTTAACGGCGTGAAAATATATAGCCTAATCCTGATGTAAGTGTAGGGCTTTTTATTAAAAAAAATGCGAAAATATGCTGTGATTGCTGACATCTTGGCAACAAAGAAATGTATGTTTACGCTTTATTATATTAGTATAGTTATAACGTTATTAGTAAATAAAGTAACTCCATCTAATACGATATCTTAGATCACATGAAATACTTAGGTGCTTGTAGTAAGATATGTAATGTTTTCCATGGTCAATATTATAGGTATCATACAACAAAATTGATTTTTCTCTATACGAATGAAATGAAAGATTATCATGTTCCAAAACAATGTAATATAATGTAAATTTGGAAAAAAATCCTTTTCAGGTGACCTCAAGCCAGATGTATCGAAAGACACATTTCAAAGGATAATAGGGTCGTTCGGAAGATATCAATTTTGGCTTTGTATTTTAATATTTTTATGCAAATTCTTCGTTGCTTTTAATCAAATGGCAGTTATATTTTATGCACCAAAAGTACAGTACACTTGTGAAGATACAAAAGCCGAAACATGTCCGTGTTCTCAGCCTGTTTACAATACTTCGATATTTACGAACACTATTACAATGGAATGGGATTTGATATGTGATAAAAAATGGTTGGCAAATTTGACACAAACATTGTTTCAAGTGGGCACTTTACTTGGTAGCGTATTATTTGGAATGGCTTCAGACAGGTATGTATTAAAAGACTTATGATATTATTTTGGCTTAATTCAGTAGAAACCGCTTGATATCACATCGGTTAAAACGACAAAACAGTCACGGTGATCAAAATCATAGATCTGGAATATACGCAACTTAACTACTGCGTAACCAATATAATTTGACCCTCGATTACGGAGAACAGTATTGTAACAATAATTTTGTTTATATTATTTCCAGATTCGGCAGAAAAAAACCATTACTGGTTGCAGTAGTTTTACAATTAGCGTCAAGTACGTTATCAGCTTACGCGCCAAATTACTGGTCGTTTACATTATCCCGTGTTCTAATTGGCGTGTCCGTCGGTGGAGTAATGGTGACTACCTTCGTGTTACTCATGGAGTTCATCGGGAATGAATATCGACACGTAATATCGGCGTTGTACCAAGCGCCGTTCAACATGGGCCATATGCTGTTGCCGCTTTGTGCATATTTTGTAAGAGACTATACGAAATTCTTACTTGTGACCTCCCTACCCAGCGCTATTCTTCTGTGCTACTTCTGTCTTATACCGGAATCTGCAAGATGGTTGATAGCTGTTAAGAAAACTGAGGAAGCTATAGTTATTTTGGAACGGGTAGCTAAAGTGTAAGTATATTTAAATTAAGAAATCAGTAACTATTCAGTTTGGGACAATGCTGTCTTAACATATTTATATTAATCTAGCTTTCGCCCGCGACTCCTTTGGCGTGGTATTAAAATTCACTAAAAAGTGTAGTCATGTGTTCTTCCAGACCATTCCCTACATCTGTACTAAATTTCATCGAAATCAGTTCAGCCGTTTAAGTTACAAACTTTTACAAACATCCATTCATCCATTATTATTGACGAAACTAAAACCACAATATGTATAATACCTACATGTATTACTGCAGTCGAGAGTCATGAATAATATTTAGACTAAGTATTTATATTATTATTTCAGAAACAACCGTCAAACCAACGTACGATCTGAAGTAGAAGCCTACGAGAGGACACTAACGGGAAATAACCAAAAAGGAAACCTATCTGATTTGTTCCGAACACCAAATCTTCGGAAAAATATAATTTGTATGTCGTTTAATTGGATGACCTGCAGTTATTGTTTTTACGGAGTCTCCCAGTACGTTGGACATTTGAGTGGAAATGTGTTTATTAATGTGGCAGCCAGTGCCAGCGTCTCCCTTCTCGGTAGTTTTGTATCAATACCACTAATGAAGATAGCTGGAAGGAAGACTGTAGTAATTGTATTTAATTTCATTTGCGCTCTCTGTTTAATTACATTAATATTTGTACCCTCGGGTACGTTGTCTGTTGTGTTAGCATGTACCGGTGTCGTTTCTAGTTTTATTGTTTTCGTTGTTGTATATTTATATTGTACAGAACTATTCCCTACGGTTGTGAGGAACGCGGCGATTGGATTTTCGTCTATGATGGCTCGAGTGGGTTCTATGTTGGCTCCGTTTGTTATCGATGGAGGAGATATCGCGTACTGGGTGCCGCCGCTTGGTTTCGCCATTCTGCCAGTCTTAGCGTGCTGGGTGACTTTCTTTTTGCCCGAAACAAAAGACTGTGACTTAATGACAACTATCGAGGAAGGTGAAGTTTTCGGTAAAAAGACAAAAGACGTACAAACAAAATAATTGACTGATAACTTTTTTTTACTTTATGTTAAAGCGTGTAATGTAAAAGTGGGGTAACAATATTACCTATAACGTTGTCTAATTTAACAGCAATGTATAATGTATGTTACATCAATGTCGAGGGCCAAGAGTTGTGATGTGTTCCAAAAAGTAATGTAATCTGTTTAGCGAAAATATAACCAAGGACATTATTTAGAATCTGTTTTATTTCTTTTTATTGAATCTTGATGTTAAAATTAGAAAAACCCCGAGTCTATTTGAATTGAAAGATTCGTGAAGTAGGTGAACAAAGGAAAATGAATATTCATTAAATGAATCTCTCATAGAATTACATTTAAATAATATTCAATTCTCAAAGCATTATATTTAAATAATATCCATTACCTTTTTATTTCCTCATTTTTATAATTTTTGTTTTACTACATACGGTAGTAATTTTATTATACCTTAGTTTTTGAAACTCACTTGGAATCAATGTAGAGTATAGTTGGAAGAACACATAAGCTTTTATACTTATTTTTGTTATATTCAATTCCACGCCGGTGGAGTCGCGGGCGGAAACTAGTTATGAATAAACTGGATTATTTCATCGAAATACCATAGATATAGTACATAAAAAAACAAACTTTTTACTATCTATATAACGTCAACATGTCAATTTACACTTTGCACTGACGTTTCTCTAAATTAACCGGTAAATAAGTTTTTTTTCATTTTAAGCCTCGGTTTAAATTTATAAACAAGTATCATTTGTATAACGTCTTAGCAAAAGGATAAATATCAATTAAAGTTTGTAAATTATTCAAGACAATTATTTTGAAGTACAATTTCAATATGGGATAATGTTTAACATCAACTGCCAATACTTATTATTCACGTAAGTATTTCACGTATTACCTATGGAATAATTTAAATATTGAAATGTACTCTACAGGCAATCATTATTCACAAATCAGTATATTTTTTACCTTAATGAAAGCGCCTTAAATGAAAAATTATAATCTTTGATCCACCAATTTTCATTTACGTACAATGTAATGTAAGCTTGTTAATGATGAACAAAAATGTGGCAATCCTAAAAGTTGTTCAATTTTAGGGTTGCCAGATTTTCACATCCGGGCGCCCAATGTGGTAAAGATGGCTCTGACTACGATAATAGTACACAAAAGTTTCAATTCAACTATTACAAAGTAGTATTTTGTCTTGATGGCTTAAATAAAACTGACCATAGATAACTGAATTGATCAACGATTTACTGTATACCTATTCATCAATTTTAAATAAATAACGAAAGTTCAGTATTTACTTTATAATGTTGGCGCAGAAATTTCTTTATTGCAACAATTTGATTTAAATAACATATTTATCGCATTTGAAAAATGTTTCTAACTAGACAGGGCTTTATATACATAATGTTTTTGATGTTTATGAGGAGGAAAATATGCAAGTCTTGAATAATTATCTTCACAGATGAAGAATTGCATACGTCCTGAACGCCTTTATGTAAATTGATCTAATTTAATATACCGTTGGATACAGACAATCTACGACACTGTTGGAAGATGCAGATAATAAAAATAAAAATAGCTCATTATTTCATATGTTTTCAGGAAATCGTCGACAACAAATCAGCGCATTTCACATAATGTTTCAAACCTTTGGAAGATATCAGTATATGATATTTTGTTTATGCATATTATGCAAAATTTTTATAGCCTTTAATCAAATGGCAGTTATCTTTTATGCACCAAAAGTATCGTATATATGTGATACAACTAAAGCTGAAACATGTCCGTGCTCAAAACCTATTTACGATAAGTCAGTTTTTACTAACACTATTACAATGGAGTGGAATTTGATATGTAACGATAAATGGTTGGCAAATTTGACACAAACATTGTTCCAAGTGGGTGTTCTGTTTGGAAGTGTATTCTTTGGAATGGCTGCAGATAGGTATTCAAGTTTATATAATACTAGATTTTAACTGCGACTCCAACGGCGCTAAAAAAATGAAAATAGCCAATGTCATCATGTATGCCTAGCCAAATTTCATCGAGATCCGGTTAAGTTTTATGAACCACTAAAGAACCAACAGTTTATATCTGGCAGCAGAACTCAAATTTTTTAACAAGGCGACTAAACACGTGAAGGATTTTTCCACCTCAGTGGAATATAATTATTTTACCTATATAGAATTTTGTGCTTTTTATAGTACATTTGACATCATTTTTTTTTCATATCATATCGTTTTCAGATACGGCAGAAGGAATCCTTGTCTTCTTGCCGTTGTAGTACAACTGGTTATGAGCACGGCATCAGCTTATGCAACAAATTATGTTGTATTTTGCATAATGCGTGTTTTGATCGGGGCGGCTGTTGGTGGAACCATGGTGACCACTTTCGTTTTGCTCATGGAATTCATCGGAAACAAAAATCGGGATCTTATATCGGCGTTGTATCATGTGCCATTTAACCTAGGTCATATCATGCTCCCTCTTTTTTCTTATTTTTTTAGAGATTACAAACAACTTCTACTAGTAACATCTTTACCCAGCGTTATTCTTCTCTGCTACTTCTGGCTTTTACCAGAATCTGCAAGATGGCTAATAGCTGTCAAACGGACAGACGAGGCTATTGCCATCTTAGAAAAGGAAGCTAAGATGTAAGTTTAATTTTTTATTAATAAGGTTTTTTGATATTTATGTATATATTTTAATGCAACCACAGCATAGTACTAGCTGGGATGGAAATGTTTGATTTTATCATAGGAAAATCAATACTGGGACTCACCAAAATGTTTCGAACCAATTTCTAGCGTTTTGTTTGCGTACGAAAATAATTAGAAATGTTCATTTTTAATTTTGTTTGCATTTCAGAAGCAGACGACAGGTGAATGTTCGTAAGGAGGTACAAGCTTACGCGAAGACGCTCTCACAGCCCAACGCACAAAAAGGAAGTTTAGCAGATTTGTTCCGAACACCGAATCTTCGCAGAAACATAATTTGTATGTCGTTTAATTGGATGACCTGCAGTTATTGTTTTTACGGAGTCTCCCAGTACGTTGGACATTTGAGTGGAAATGTGTTTATTAATGTGGCAGCCAGTGGATGTGTGGCACTTTTAGGCTCATTTACTTCAATACCATTGATGCGAATATGTGCAAGGAAGACAGTCGTGGTAGCATTTCATTTTTTATGTGCTATATGTTTATTTGCATTAATATTTGTACCGGAAGGTAATTTATCTATTGTCTTGGCATGCACAGGTGTCGTGTCCAGCTTTATTGTGTTCGTTGTTGTTTATTTATATTGTTCAGAACTATTTCCTACGGTTGTCCGCAATGCAGCAGTTGGATTTTCATCGATGATGGCACGATTCGGGTCAATGCTAGCTCCTTTTGTAATAAACGGGGCGGATATCGCGCTGTGGCTACCGCCCCTAGGCTTTGCTATTCTACCGCTAGTAGCGTGCTGCGTGACGTTTCTATTACCTGAAACAAAAGACTGCGAATTAATGACGACTCTACAAGAGGGTGAAAACTTCGGCAAAAAAGTCGGTAATACACCAAAGAAATAATATCATAATTAAGATTGTCTGATTGCCGTTTTTGATGTAATATACCTGATGTAATGTACACTGTTTGTGATGTAAAATTATATTTAGTATTGTAATATCTAGGTTTGAATTCATTTTGTTATAAATAAATCACAAACTGTCAGTATTTTGTACTGTGAGTGTGTAATTTGTAGTTTGGGACCATTAAAATTATGTTTGAATACAAGTCGTTTTAACTGTTTTTTGTCTTCACACCACGATAGGTGTAAATTGTTTTTATTAAAAGCAAGCAATATGCGAATTTCAGCTGTTTAATGCCTCAATCGATTAGATTTAGCCTATTTGTTTATATGTCTGAAATCTCAATAGCAATAATCCTTCTGTGTTTAATATATCTACTGTAAGAGTGGTCTTGATTAATTATAAAGTGAATTCCAAATATAAATTGCACTGGAAACTTGATTACTGATCTGTAATTGTCGCACTTTTTGAAGCCACCTAGTTTTTAATATTCCTATACATGATGTCATAAGCAGTTTTTTTTGTAATGCAACTTTTAATAATATGGTGCTGATAAATAATTTAATTGGTAATTTCGGGAAGTATCATCTATGGCTATCATTTATAATTCTCGTTAACAAATTTGGTGTTGGTTTGCATCAAATGGCTATTATATTTCTCGCTCCTCCGACGCAGTTTACTTGTCCGGATAAAAGTGAATGCTGTAAAAATCCCATTTATAATACAACTCTATTTAAAAGAACAATTATTACGGAGTGGAACTTAATTTGCAAAGAATCATGGCTTAAAGATTTCACGCAGACAGTATTTCAGTTTGGTGTTCTCATTGGCAGTTTGATATTTGGCGCCGCATCAGATAGGCAAGTTGAAAATTTTCAGTATCCCTCTCTTGGTTCACACTGTCGAAACAATTTTTAACTATATTCAGATAATATAAACCAATAGCACTTTACGTTTTAGGTCCATAAAATGTATTATATTCCAGATACGGCAGAAGAAAAACATTGATTTTCGCTGTAGTTATGGAATCGCTGACCGGTATAATAGCTTCATTTCTTCCCGATTTTTGGAGTTTCACAATTGTCAGAATGTTTTTGGGAATATCAGTTGGCGGCATTATGGTGATCGGATTTGTTCTGCTCATGGAATACGTTGGAATTATGTATAGAGATGCGTTGTCCGCCTTGTTTCATGTCCCATTCACTATGGGTCATATCGCACTGGCTTTGTTTGGATATTATATCAGAGATTACACGCATCTACAGCTGGCAATATCTGTAGTAAACATGATCCTTCTTTTCTATATTTGCATATTACCGGAATCGCCTAGATGGCTCTTGGCTATAAATAAATCTTCAAAAGCGATTGCTTTAATGGAACAAGTAGCAAAATTGTAAGTAGAATCACTTTTCTCTTTAGAATAATTTGATTATAACGAATATCGAGATGTTAAATAAAGCAATATGAATTTCAGCAATAACTTACCTACAGAAGAAATCGCAACTATGACCGAGATGTACCAAACGGAACACAAATCTTCAAGAATGAAGCGCGGTTCAATATTGGATTTATTCAGAACTCCTAACATGCGTAGAAATATTTTGATAATGGCATTTTTATGGCTTGTATGTAGCTACTGTTTCTATGGTGTTGCTCACTACATCAGTCATCTGACGGGAAATATTTACACCAACGTAATAGCTAGCGGCAGCGTCGCGCTCTGCTCCTGTTTCGTGTCTATACCGCTTATAAGATTCTTGAAAAGGAAAACTTTAGTTATCGCTTCGGAGTTAGCTAGCAGTATATGTTTAATATTGATTGCTTTCGTCCCAGAGGGCACAATTTCAATAGTGCTGGGTTGTACGGGTGTATTCTTTACGTTCATGGTATTTATTGTAGTGTATTTATACTGCTCTGAAATGTTTCCTACGGTAGTGCGTAACGCTGCAATCGGTATATGTTCGATGATGGCTCGCGTAGGCTCGATGGTTGCGCCATTCGTCGCCGGATTGAGACCTTTTGGAATTTGGTGTGCTCCGGTCGCCTTTGGTATCTTTCCTCTCATCTCCGCTGTATTGTGCTTATTGCTCCCAGAAACAAAAAACTGCGAGTTGCCAATGACCATAGAAGAGGGCGAAGCTCTTGGTCGTAATCAAAATCAAAATGTAACCGTGGCAGAAGATTTGACATGATTTTTATTAGTCCAGTATTGTATTTATTTTAAACGTTGACATAAATTTAGATATATCATTATAACGATTTTATTTATTTTAAAAAGTGGTTTTATTTTAAAATTGGCGAGTGTTGTTACTGTAATTTTTTAGTTTATCTCAGTGCAAACAAAAATTAAATATAGCTAGTTCCAAAAAGTAATGTATCAGTTTATAAGAAGGTTGCGTATAATGAATTCGAATTAGAGTTTAATATAGGAATGAGTATGAGATTATTAAAGTTTTTCTGGGTCACGTAAGGTTTCTAATCCATTGCCGCATTTGTGGCTTCCCGAAGTCCTAAGTCAGTTCAAGAGTAGTCATGGCGTTAGGTGTGGCGATATGTGGGGCCTGGTATTATACAATTCTTTCTGGTAAGTTTTTCGATTTTATACTTTATTGAAATAATGAATTTTTATAATTGTCCCACGCGCAAATTAGACCGGTTTACTAGTTTACTAAGGAAAAAGGTTCTGCAATCCTTGCGATCTACTTCACAATAATTAGCACATAAATAAAGTATGTTTTGTTTATTTTAACTCGTATGATTTGAATGTTCAATTATTCAGAAATTTACTGAAGTTTGTAGTGAGGTTAATATGCTATAACTTGAAAAACAGAAAAGCTAAGATAGTTACAACTCCAGTTATTAAAGATTTGGTTGACTTGTTTTAGTATAACGCTTTGTAACGTCGAATTTGCGGTAAGAGCGTGGTCACTACCTTTAATATTAAAGTGAAGGGAAAGGTAAAAAACAATAAAAAAGTTGCAGGATAATTATTATTGATTTTTTAGTAAGATAGTGTACGATTCGTGTCATATCCGTCTATCAATAAAGTCAATGTGTCGAAATTACATATGTATCTTGTCTTTAATTTTTGTTGCAGGATTTTACGTCCTATATTGTCCTGTCATGTACTTAATGTTTCTTAATCATAGCTTGTACAGAAAAGTTGTCGATGTTTTATTCTCGCTATGGGAACTCTACCCTGTGGTAAGTAGTCTATTCAGAAGAGATTATGAAGCATAATTAAAAAATCTATATAAAAATTAGTTAGTACCTACTTTAAATTTATGAAAATGGTAAATTCAAAACTGGTGTTTATCTAAAAATTTTTTAGGCTTTATTTCAGTGGTGTTACCACACACGTATACGTTGCTTTGGTGATTACGTGAATCCAAATGAAAATACAATAATAATTATGAACCATCGAACTCGTGTGGATTGGAATTACGTTTGGCTTGCTCTATATCATGCTACGAAACCTGTTGCCGATCAAAGAATCGACGATGTTGAAAATAGGGATAGTAACGACATGTTTGATATTATTTGTGGTGGTAAATCAAGAATCAAATTTGTTCTGAAGGATGAAATAAAAATTGTACCCGGCATGGGTATGTTTGTTATTCGTACTTATCCAAATTGCTACATATTATTAAGCCTCTGTTCAATGTTGCGACACTGCTCTAATTACTTTGATAACTATAATTAGACTTTCTTAAAGGTCAATCAATTTAATTAGGATTAATCATTAGTTATTAAACATAATTGAATTACTAGAACTGTAACTATTTTATCAATGATTTTATAATTTTTCAGGTTGGATTATGCAGTTAAATTATTTTCTGTATGTTAAACGCAACTGGCAAGAGGATCAATTGAATTTATCACAATTCATCGATTACTACAATAAGCTTGAGTGTAAGAATCGCATTGTGCTGTTCCCGGAGGGCACTGACCTTAGCGAAGATAATAAACGTCGCAGTAGAAAATTTGCTGAAGCTAATAATTTACAGGTAAAGTATTGTAATAAACAAACTATGAGTGGTATACCCCCCTTAGGGACGTTGATAGCAGTTGATATTATTTTCCTTTCAGTGCCATGAGTATGTTTTACATCCGCGCACTAAGGGTTGGGTGGCTCTTTGCTCTCGTCTACGCGGCTCCGGCTTGACCTCCGTATATGACGTCACCGTAGCTTATGACAACCCGGCCAATGAGATCGATCTCATACGTGGAAAATTGCCTCAGGAGGTTTTCTTTCATTTTAAACGGTAATTAGTTTGTATGAACTAGTGGTTATGATTGATAACCAAAGATTTTTTTGATTAAAAATCTAATATGGATTGCTTCTCTACTTTTTGACCGCTCTAATTTTATTATTGCAGTAATAGTACCAGCTAAATTCTATTATTATTTATTAGTTAATAAACTATACATAACTTAATTACAGATATTCTATAGAAGAAATCCCTGTAAATGAAGACGAAATCAAATCTTGGATAAATGAACGTTGGCAAGATAAAGAGAGTAGTCTTAGAAAGTTCCACTCGGATGGTAATACCAAAGTCTTTTCTATGCTAGTTCGTCACATTTTTCGACACTAACATATCCCATCATATGTGATCGTGGTGAAGCGCTAGTATTTATGTTGTAAAAAACAAAAAAATATGTTACAAAATATAAGAATTGAGAAATTTTCTACGTTTTTTACAATTGAGAATTTAGAATCCTAGTAAACGGAAGTCCTATTCCATTCATCTTACTTCCAAGTTAATGACCATAACTTAAATAAAACTTAAAGTTATAACTTTCCCAAACACTATCATTGACGTTGTGCACGTGAGCAATTTGTTTCGAAAGCGGTTTTATTTTATGTTAAGTAATGCTTTTAAAATTTTACACATAGGAGGCTTCTTTATCAGTAAGATAGGTAATCTTATGTAATACGTGAATATATTCACTTATTAGATAAGATATAAGGAAGTATTGAATGGACAGCTAAGACGAAGTTTATAAAACACGTGAACTGGGTTGCGACTCAGATAAAATGTCAAGATATAGTTGACTGACAATATCCAACAAGATAAAGAGATATAAATACGATTAGAAATCCAAATGGACCCACCACAGAGTATTGCTTCGAAGTTACCATCACATACATCAATCATACTTCGTGCTATCTTACTTCTTACTGATATTATAAATGCGAAAGTTTGAATGGATGGATGGATGTTTGTTAGAATTTGTCGCCTAAACGCCTGAAGGGATCCTGATGAAATTAGACACAGATGTAAAACACAGTCTAGATTAACACATAGGCTGCTCACTTTTTCTTTTCTAATTTCCACGCGGACGGAGTCGCGGGCGAAGTCTAGTATTATTATAGTTTTCATATATTATGGCAGATAACAACTTAATGCGAGTAACTATTATGTTAGTAGCCATGAATCGCAGCTGCGCAGAACAGAATTTTAGTTGTATCAAGGCGAGTGGAGGATTGCGTAAAGTACCGATGACATTGAACCGCCAGGGTATTTGAAAACCATAATACTTTGCTCAGAAGATTTGTCGATAATGTCACATATTAACTAACGGTACTGAGTAGGCGAATTCGGGACGCGTCGGTGATAGTGGGAGAGGAAACATCGTCAAACCTTCTATTCGCGGTTAATAAACATAAATACATATAAATTTGTATCAATTTATGTCGAGGTATAAAAGTATAGTTAGGTTTTATTGTAATCGAAGGGTGTTATGTGAGAAGTTATTAGCTAATTTTATCACTAAGTAAAGGCAGCAGGAATTCATTCGTTGTAAGCTAGATCTAAGCTAATAAAAAATTGAAATAACTCAGAAACTACTGGGCCGACTTTTAAAATTTCCCTTTTATTAGAAAGCTAAGTTATCGCTATTTAACATAGGCTATATTTTTATGTTTCAAATGGATTAAGTCGGGAGTAACAGCTAGTAGCAAATAAAGGTAGACAATATTCAACCTTTATTTGCGATTTTGGCAAATGTGCCAAATAGAAATCCCATAAAAAGTAATTAGATTCCCGAAGTAAGAGTCGTAGTCAAATAAATACCGACTACATCAGGCTGTTGAAACTGCCCTAAAATTGTTTTCGGATATCTAAGCATTAACTCGTTGTTTTTGTGTTAATTAGGTGTGTTCATTGATGCGGTAACTGGCAATACGCCAACGGAATACGCAGCGAGATCTCTAAGAAAAGCAAAATTGTGTTTCGTGTTTTGGACATTTATTGATATACTATTCTTGTATAATATTTTAAGTAGTGTTTTATTTCAGTTCTGGGTCGTATATCATAGTTTTCTTTTTATATTTGTCACTTGGTATTTTGGTGGCTTTCAAAATGTTCAGTACAAAATTTTGGAAAAAGAATTATAAATTGTACGTTCCTGTTTGTTGAATTGTTAAAGTATTGTTAAGATTTATTTAATGGACTGTGAATTCTTGTTAGTGCCAAATATTATTAAAATCGTAGTTTTAAAAATCAATAAATATTAATATCAGTTTTTTTTTTATTTATTAATTTTATTATTCTCAATGCTTCCATCCAAAATTTGTTTCCTCTAATATTGCTGTAAAATATTTTAGTCTTACATCAGATGTTTAGTGATGTCACGTTAAATTTCAGCCAAATAACAAAAAGCAGTATTTGATCATTGATGTGATCGCATGTAAAATACATTTGTTTATCTTTATCTGTGTCTTATCTTTAAATATTCATCTTAGTACTGTACACGATACGTGATGTTACATAGGGTTTGTAAATATTTGTATACATACACGATTGCAGGTTCGAATAAAAAAACCTCTCTTCAGTAATAAGTTATTATTATAAAAATATCACAAGTTATCTACATAATTGATGACACATATCTATGGTAAACTATTACAGTTAATTATTTGCAGGAAATACGTTCAATTGTTTTATTATTATAGGGTCTTTCCATAACTTACTGTTACAACGAATAAAAATTGGTAGGCAGAACCTTTTTATTTATTAAAGTGCCTATTTATTTTTCATCAGTCGACTTTTCAGCTTGTTCGATTGTATTTAATAAAACTTTATCCTTTGTATCGGGAAGGAAAAAGCAAAAGAATGCCGCTACCAATGTAACACCACTAAATATTGCAACAGACATCCACTCTATACCAATATTAACAACAAATGGGGCTGCAAAACCACCAAATCTTGAAAACATTGATGCAAATCCTAAAGCTGAATTCCTTACAACAGTTGGGAATACTTCAGACGTAAACAAATACATTTGTCCAAATGCCATATTCGATCCAATATGCCCTAGGATAGCAAAAGCTAAAGAAATAGACTCTAAATCACTGGGAATATAAATAAATATAATCAATGCAATGGCCGACATAGTAAAACTACCAATAACACCAATTTTCCTCTTAATATACAAAGATACAAGAACATTAAAAAATAATGGAGGAATATGAAAAACTCCAAAGAGAAATATATTTAGATAAAAATTTCCCTGAAGTCGCCCGATGTACTGATTGATACCATAAAATGTGTTCCCGCAGCAAAACCAAACACAAGCAATTATTAAAGAGTACATTTTCATTTTTGGTGTTGAAAACAAGTCCAAATAAGATCCATATTTGGGTTCTTCTTTCTTCGTTTTATGTTCTTCAGCTGCATAAATAATTGAAGCAATATTATCAGTCGGTCTTTTGTTTCTGAAATTAAAATTAAAATTTACTTCAATCCTATTAAAGACACTTAATCATTATTGATTGTAAAACTGTTTAATTATTTACCTTTTTGCAATCTTTGTCAGAACATCTATAGCTTCTTCTTTCTTTCCTACAGTTATTAACCATCGTGGTGATTCCAACATCAGCCAGTTATACGATATCACGAATACGCAGGGTACTGACGTCACTAATTGTAGATACCTCCACTCCCTTATGTAATAAGCAATGATCGGATGTACTATAGACACTGTAGCGTATGCTATTTGCGTCAACCCTGGCAGATATGGTCGAAATGATTTCCCACTTAACTCCACCATAAGAGTATAGCTACAGATCAAAGTACCGCCTACTGAAGTACCGATCAGAAAACGAAGAACTAAGAACATCCAAAAGTCTGGTACTAAAGCTGACGCTACTACAAAAACAACATCACTCGTTAGCGCCATTAATATTGTAGTTTTACGACCGTACCTAAAACAAAAGTTGGAATGAAATATATGCACACAAGACAGTCTTGTTTAAAATGAATAGCATAACATTGTTTAGTAAAACAAAGCTTTTCAAATTTATATTTTGTGTAAATAATGGAGAAACAATCTGAATATTCACGATAATTTAGTTAGATGAAACTTTTTAAATGAATTAATAAATTGTTTTCATAATTTAAACACTATTAATTGACTCATACCATAAATATTAATATACTTTATTTACTATAGCATTACACATAATTTGAAAATCAATGGTAGTATTTACCGATCAGAAAGATATCCATAAAGAAGACTTCCCGTTAGGATTCCTATTTGCAGCACGGATTGAGCTAAGCTGGCCAGATAAGAACTGCCGCAGATGAGGTGCCAAGTTGTTACAACCGATTCGACGATAGTACTCGTCTCATACTGTGGGTTTTTACAGGGACAGTAATTCGTCATATTAGAAGCCCCTTCATCAAGACACACGTAATCCACTTTTGGTAAAATGTAAACTACATTTGTCAATTGAAAATCGGCAGGAACGCGTCCGATAGCAATTAAAAATAACACCCATGTCTGATATAACCCGAAACGACCGATGATATTTTCAATCGCATCTTCTGTAGACATGACATAAATTTTTGCGTTATTTTTTTCGCTTCACTACTTTCCTTCGTTGAATTTCACAAAACATACAAGTCCGGAACCAAAGCTCTACGCTTTATTTACTTTGATAATACTTTATCTTCTTTTTTGAGATAAAATTAAATCTAGATATACTTGTACATAAACAGTTGTCTATACACAATACGCTTGTATGCGTAACTAAGCAGTGGTACCGTACGCATCAAAAATATTTTTACCCCCCTGAGACGCTCAAAGATGATAAGTTTTTTTTGTTGTTGAAAATACTAGTAAATTTTTTGGTAATTTACTAATATTCCCTTTAACCAATCCAACTAAGCTCTGAGGTTATGCTAGGGTATGGTTCACTACAATAGTCGAATGGCGGGTTTCGAACCCTCGACCTCAAGATCGGTAGTTCGTATCCCATACCATTAGGCTATTTGCGCTTAAGTATACGTGACCAGGCATTTCTAGATTTTGCTGTTAAACATTTTCATTATTCTAGTTCGCATTAAAAATATTTTAAAGAGCAATTGCAAGTCTTTACTTATGGAAATTTAGGTTATATTACATAAGGTGATTTTGTCGTTTGTCTGCCTGGCCTTGGCCTGTTCAGTAATTTCTCTTAGTACAATATTCTCATGGGCATTGTCAGAGAGGAGTAAGGGTGCATCCGCTCAATGGATAGTTGTAAAATAGATATAAAAACTTCGAAAAACACCATATTAATAAATCTCCACTTCTATTAATTAATAGGCGTAATAATTATAAGCAAAAAATACTTTTTCTTTATAATAATTTAATAAATTTTACTTTAAGCATTTATGAATGGACTGTTAATTTTTCTAAGCCTTTTAATGTATTTTAAACAGTTCTAGTAATGTAGTAGTGTAATTTAATTAGTCCTAGTAATGATAGAGAGAGTAATCAATAGTTTTAACGCAGCAGTCTTGCCTTGTTGTACTATCGATCTATCGAAAGGTCGTGTCGGCGGATGTTCTTGTCTGTTGCGATAACTTCATATCTGATAAGTTTCTCGTTGTCTTCTTCGTAAGTATACGTAAACAAGTATATACGAAAAAAATTGAATTTCTGCAAGTCAGGATTTAACATCAATTGTCGTTTGAGTTTTAAATATTTTTCTTCAATGCTATTAAATTTGAATATCATTGATATAAAGCCTTTTTAAGTATAAACAAGATTGCTTAGTGTATTTTATATAGTCATAGTCTTACAAAAAAAATTGTATAAGTTTAAAGACTGTATAACTAATATATTTATCAAAATGTGGTTTATTTTATATACAGAGTTGAATTAATATAATGATAACCTTATAATTAAATCAAGGACAATGATTTTTACAACAAATTGTATATTTACTTAGAAATTAACATATTTCCAAAACTATATTACGTTTTAACTTTTCTCTCTGACTGTTCAGTTTGTTGAATTGTATTCAACAGTACAGTATCTTTGGTGTTCGGTAATAAAAAGCATAAAAATCCAGCGATCAAAGCCACTGTACTAAATACTGTAATAGAAGCCCACTCTACACCAACATTAACTACGAATGGTGCAGCAAAACCACCAACTCTTGCACTCATTGAAGCGAATCCCATCGCTGAATTTCTTACAACAGTCGGGAATACTTCCGATGTATACAAATATATTTGAATAAATGCCATATAAGCTCCCATTTGACCAAATACAGCAAATACTAAAGACGTTGTATAAGCATTGCTTGGTATAAATATAAAGACAGTCAAAGAAATTGCTGCTATTAAAAAACTTGCTATCACGCCAACTTTTCTTTGAAGATACAAACACGAAAGTATGTTCAAAACAACTCCAGGTAAAAGGAAAATTCCTGAAAGCATTACATTAAAATAGAAATTGCCTTGTAGTCTTCCGATGTATTGATTAATACCGAAAAATGTATGACCGCAACAAAACCAAACGAGAGCCATTACAATTGTGTAAATTCTTAATCTTGTCGTTTTAAACAAATCCAAATAAGACCCGTGCTTTTGTTTATCTTCGTTTAATGAATTTTCTTCGATCTTTTCTATTATTGCTCCAATATTTTCTGTAGGTCTATTATTCCTGGAATAAAAACAAAATAAAGTCATTTCATTTGTTTACATTCCTATTTTTTTTTTGTTTACGATATTTAGCGGATAGTTGGTTTATTGTAAACGGATGTTTAATATTTTAAAACGATTATATGAAGTTTTAATTAATTATCAAAAGTAGTATCTAGCTAAGGCTTTACCATTTAGCAATCTTCGTTAATACATTTATAGCCTCTTCCTTCTTTCCCATTGTGAGCAGCCAGCGAGGTGATTCTGGTAATAGCCAATAGTACAAGACAACAAAGAGCCAGGGAACTGACGTCACCAATTGCAGATATCGCCACTCTCGAACATAATATGCTATCACTGGTTGAATTATTGACGCCGTGACGTATGCCATTTCTGTTAGTCCCGTCAAATACGGCCTGAATGATGTACCGCTCAATTCTACCATAAGAATGTAAGAGCAAAGCATTGTTCCACCGACTGCAGTGCCGATTAAAAATCGACAAACGAGGAACATCCAAAGTTCTGGGACTATACCGGATATTATTATGAATAGCACGTTGGTTATTAGTGCGGTTAGGGTTGTTACTTTACGGCCATATCTGAAATTAAAAGAAAAATCTTTTGAATTAACGAAAAGCATAAATTCTATATGTATGTATTGTAATTCCTTGTTTTACACGCTGACGTCTATGTTGTTTTGGTTTTTCTCGGGTATGTGTGTATCAACATACATACATAGGGACCTCATGTAATCTAAATTTATTTTTCACGGCTAACCGTTTGACTCAGAACGACGACCAGTAAAAGCATTGATGAATATTCCTAGGGCAATCATCTAATCGCCGTCAAACCTTGTCAGTATAATAGCTAGTAAAAAAGTTGACTAACCGAGGTGTCATAAAAACAATACAGAAACTACTACAGACTTGAAGATATATGATAATAACATTTGCTGATTATCTCAATAGATTGATCACTCGACGGAGGATTGATATATGTATGTCAATATTAAGTACCTTGGGCTCTCACAATTTCAATGAAATTGTAAACTGAAGACAGCCGAGTGGGTCAATGTCAAATGCCACTAATGCAAAGAACAGTAAGGCTTTGCACTCGATGCGCTTTGAAACAATTACAACATAAAAAACCTTTACAAAAACATTCACTATATATCAAATCTCCATAAAATACAAATCTATAAACAATTATGCATATTTCTTGTCAAATATGCAAACATCTTATGTTGTTTATTCAATACTTAAATAAGTTTAAAAAGCGGGGAATTCATAGTGAAATAACAAATTGCATTCAAACTGTGTATTAGGATTTTATATATGCTTTCGTTAAATATCACAATAGTAATTTTGCTGCCGTTTACAGAAAGGCGCTTCATTTATAAAAAGACGTTTTTTTATTTTTTCTTGCTTTTTTTAACTTGCTAATCTAAAGCAATTGGAAAACATTAACATGTGTTGTGACTTAAATTAAATAAATAAAAATAAGTAAAAACCTTTTTATTGCCAATTCAATCAGCATGTCATTTAGGTCTACCTACAGTAAATTGTAGTTAATTACGGAGGCGAAGGAGATATGCTGGATTAAATCATGACATAAGTAAGCTTAGTAAAATAATTATAAATGTATTTTCGTAAATTACCTGTCTGATAAATATCCGTAGATAAGACTTCCCGCTAGAATTCCCATCTGCAGCGTTGACTGTGCAAAGCTAGCTAGTTGTGTTTTGTTACAAATTAGGTTCCATGTGGTAGTGACAGATTCCACAACATTACTCGTATCGTATCTAGGATTAGTACACGGACAATAGTTTGTTGTATTCAGGACTTGATCATCCGTGCATTCGTACTCTACACTCGGCAAAATAAAAACTACATTGGTCAATTGAAAATCAGTGGGCAAACGGCCAATGTATATCAAAAACATAACCCATGACTGATATTTCCCAAAGCGACCGATCACCTTTTCAAAAGCGTCATCGGCGGACATTATCGCGATTAGTAAAATAATATTAGCCGTATAGATTTTGAACTTATCTTTGTAATGTAGTAATTGCTTGTTCATATACAGACGTTTTCCACACTATCGTTTTACTAACACTAACATATTTTGGACACGCGACATAACAAATACATAGGTGATAAAACTTTATCTAAACTGTTAGATTATTTAAAAGATAGAAGATTTAAAGCAAACATTTAGGTTGAATGATAACTTCCGTACATGTCACATTTCATGCGAAAGCACTTCCAGTCCCAAGGAATTCTAATCCGATTTTAACATTTCATTCGTTCGGTCATAAAAGGCCGAGTTGAAAAACTTATTTTGTTTTATTTCACAAAAGATATCATTTTATAAAGAAATTAAAAATATATAATGATTACTGTTGAATAGACAGACACTTGAACAAATACAACTCGATTAAATAAAGTACGCTGGTTTAAATAACATTTCGTTTATCATAAGTAGTTATATTTGCACTTTACTTACAATTTATAATATGAATTGCTGTCTGCGGTCTCGCTCAGATTATTATTACATTTTTCTTTCATCATTAATCTATTTAAATTATTGTAACGCCAAGCATAGTTGGATACACACGCTGGCTAGTTTAGAATATACCCATCATTGGCTTTGCAAATAATTTGAAATATGACGCTTCATTACGTACATCAAACGCTTAATTTCGTAAGTATGAACTGTGGGGTTAGACAGTAAAAAACAAAAAACGAAACGTTCCATCGTTTCGTCTAAACGATAGCGTCTCTCGTTTTCCCGAGAAAGCTAGACAGTTACAGACGATAGTCACATTCGTGCAGACGAAGGTGAATCGTCAAAAAAAACTAATTATTGTCTCTGCTGACGATGATTGTTGTGTCATCTGAATTTGACGTATAAAAAATGTAAAATGTTCACGTCAAAAATACAGTTGAATTTCAAAAGTTAGTGAAGTGTGTTGGAGTTTAAAATTTAATAAAAATGAGTAAAAACGCGAGCAGCGAACAAATCGCCGTGATGTCTCTGCTGCCTCCTCTTCAAGTGCTCATGCTGCCCCATCATCAGCAATTGATCCTACATCTGATTTTGGTCATAGTCAAGGTAAATACTAACATACATATGAATTGAAACACTACAGTTCTAGATCGTATCTTTCCTGTTCCTAGCTTATCCACCAAGCTTTAAACACATAATTTATTGACAGATGCATCGCAGA